AGAGCAGTTCTTGGCTCATTAATAAGCCCTTAACAAATGCTTACTGGTCAACCCAGAGCTTCACAACTGGTGTACTTTGGTACACACATATATCACGAACAAGTTCTCCCTGCAGAACTCTCTTTGAGGGGAGAATTTGCTCATGAAAACAATCCCTCTGGGTGTGGGTGGTGTGGGGGTGGGGAGCAGGAGCCCTTGGAAGCACTCTCCTCAGTGTGTGTGAGTGCCACGATGGGAAAAAAGGTGGGGAAGCCTTGGGTGAAATGACTGACTAGAAATGCCGCTAAAAAGAACCGGAAACAGCCTGAATGTCCATAAAAAAGATGAAGTTCTTTTATGTATAAATGGAACATTTTCCAAGAAATTTAACTGAAAAACAAGATGTAGACAGTATGCATAACATATTCCTGTAAAAGGGGGGAAGATGTATAAACTTAATTGCTTGTATATGATATGATATACCATATGATAGCTCTGTAAGGATATGCCACGGTGACTAACTCACGGGGGGGAGGCCAGTGGTTAGAGAGAGAGGTAGGAAGCCTTATCCCTGTAAACCTTTGCACTTTTGAATTTTGAACATGACAACATTAGCTATTAAAGACACTAACATTATAAAGTTGTCAAACCACCTTTACCTATCTCCAAATTCCATTAATAATGATTATCATCTACCCATACACCTTCATTATTAGTCAAACTTTGCATGAAAAAAATACAAGAAAGATCTGTGTGCTGGTTACCCAACTGTGTACAGTTTGTGAAAATCCACTGAGCTCTACACTTAAGATCTAGCCACTTTTCCAGAGGTACAGTATTCATCAACAAAAAGAAACAAAATGAAGAGGTTACTTAGATCAACTTGCTCTTTGTTCTCTCTTAGTATACTATTCAGAAAGGAGTATCTCCTTTATGAGAGTATAGTATAGGAGTATAGTATAGTATAGTAAAGGAGTATAGTATTTCATATATTTGTTGAGATAAAATAAATTACTGTTTCAAATTTTTCAATAATGTTTCTCAAAAAAATTTCATATGGGCCAAGCACAGTGGCTCATACCTGTAATGCTAGCACTCTGGGAGGCTGAGGCAGAAGGACTGCTTGAGCTCAGGAGTTGGAGACCAGCCTGAGCAAGAGTGAGACCCTATCTCTACTAAAAATAGAAAAAAATTAGTCAAGCATGGTGGCATGCACCTGTACTCCCAGGTTCTCAGGAGGCTAAGAGGCAGGATCACTTGAGCCCAGGAGTTTGAGGTTGCAAGTGAACTATGATGATGCCACTACACCCTAGCCAGGGCAACAGAGCAAGACTCTGCCTAAAA